TAGGAAACCCGAACAAAGAAGAAGGAAAATTTGGGTTGTAGATCAAAACTTTTGGAGGAAGAAAAGAGGAGGAGTTTTCAAGCTTCCAAGGTGGAAATTGTTCTAGCATCAATCAAGGTAAGTGTAGTCCCAACTACGCCACAAGAATTATGTGTTTTGATGCTTAGATAGATGATGTTTGAAGTTTTTGAAAGTTGTGAGTGTAATACTAAATTGTTTGGGCTATGTTGAACTTGATTGATCTTGATGAATTATTGATGTAACATTGCTTTTGATGGATGAATTAACATGTTTAAGTGCTTAATTAGGATTTAATTGAAAGATTGAAGTTGGTGGTTTAGGGTTAAAAGTTTCGCCCAATGTATGATTTAGGGGAAATCCAGTAGTTTCATGTAATTGTGTTATTTAGATGTTCTTAAGATTGATTAAGCATGATTAAATGTGTTTCATTGGAAACTTATCATTAATTTAGTCAGTTAGACGTTTTTTCCATAACTAGAAATGAGGGTTAATTGGATTGATTTATGTAATTATATTAATTATATGTTTATATGATAAATTAGATGTGAGTAAATGTGTTTAGATGAAGAATTGAATATGGATTGTTGGGTTTACATGATTTGACCAAACCCTATATTAGATTGGGTTGAATTAATTTGATAATTAATGATGTTTAATTGTGTGGAAGGATGATTTAACATGAATATACGTGTTTAATTGCAAAATACTTCTTCTTTATGTAAAGTGAATATTTCAGCCAAGATCAATAATTAGTATTAATTGCCTAATTTTATGAAGTAGTGATGAATTGATATTTTGTTTGTTTTTTTTTTTTTAACTCACACACCCAAGATTCCTAGGAGAACTAGTCCGTTAGGATTTGAACTTGTGACCTAGGGATGGCAATGGGGCGGGCGGGAATCGTCATCCTCATCCCCGCCCCGTCCCTAAAAAAAAACCCATCCTCTCCCCATGCCCCATTCGGGATGAAATTTCACTCCTCATCCCTCGCTCCAAATGGGGCAAGACCTTGCCAAATTACCTTTTTTAAAGGTAAAAAGGCGGGGCGAGGTGAGGATTGTCAACCCCATCCCCACCTCGCCCAAAAAAAAAAAAAAAAAAACTCATCCTCATCCTATGCTCTATCCAGGGCAAAATTTCATGCACCATCCACACCCCAAACGGGGCGGGGTGGCTTCGGGACGAGTTGGATTGCCATCCTTACCGTGACCTCTTGTTGCAAAACCATTGTCACTAGGCTACCAACTATTTGGTTGTTTGTTGCTTGATTTGTTCTTAGCTAAATGAAGTTGATTTTGATGACATGTTTCGGCCTTAAGCTAATTTTAATGACTTATCGTATTTGTTTAATTAAATATTAAATTCATGCATGTTATGAATTATTAAGTACATATTGATGGTTATAAGTATATGTTAAATGTACATGATGTTGTTAATGCGAGCATGGCTATGAAAAGAATTGAGGTAATGCATTTTATTACATACATTTCATGCTATAATCATGAAAGGATTCTTCTTCATGATTTTCAAATTAAATAAAAAAGGAAATGCATGCTTTTAAAGGAAATGGCTAGGCATCTTCGGAAAATATTGCAAGAGGAATGATCACCCTCTTATGAGGAAAAGAAAAGGAAAAAGAAAAAAAAAAGAAAAAAGGAAAGATGCACCCTCTTTTGAGGAAAAGAAAAAGAAAAAGATAAAAGGAAAGATGCTTAGTGATTTTGTGATTTTTTTATAATTGCATAATTTTAAAAGAGGGTCGATTATATACATAATCCGCAAGATGCACCCGAAGAGGAAAATGAATTTCAAATTTACATGAAATGGATTTTTAATTGCATCATGTGCATTTCATGCATGGATTGCACTTACTAAGAATAGCTCATTTTTTTCTTCTTGTAGTGTAGGTGAGAAAAGTACTAAATGATGGTGTGCTTCGAGTTAGAAGTCGTTGATGAGAAAAATCTGACTTTTCGTTTAGCATACTTAAAATATAGATGTGAATTTGAGGGCTTTAATTTTTCCTTTATATCATGTTTTTAGACCTTAGTAAATGTATTAGGGTTAGCACTCATGGTTTGTAAACTAATAACATTCTTAGGATGACTCTAAATAATAAATAAATGTGAATGTGGTTTGTAGTAGAAAGTTTGGTTTTATGCACGAAATTAATGTTTGGTTAAATCAATTGGACTATAAGGAATTAAATTGGATTAAATTGGAACTTAATAATTAAAGGGTTAAATATTTTAATGGTCTTAAAGGCTATAATTTAATTTGATTGACATGAAATAATCGATTTAATTGGAAGGAAATAATTGAATTTAACCAATATGGAATAATTGAATTTAATTGAAACAAGTAATTGAATTGGTGTTTTTATTCAAAATAGCTTTCAATCGGTTTAACACTTTATTTGGCTTCCAATGGGCGTAATAAAGACTTTTTTATCAAGTCAATTAATTGATCTTTTAATCCTCAAGGATTTTTTTATTAAATTGATAATAGTCTTCACCTTAAAAAAAAAAATTAAGGTTAATTATTAAATGGAGTATGGTAGCTCATTAAATAGGGCCAAAGGGATTAATTTTTTAAATAATCTGAATTTTTATGAAAAATAATTGACTTTTTATTTAATTGGCTTGTGAAATTAATCAAGACTAAATTGATTATTTCATAATAATGACTAATTTAATAACCAAATTTTAGAAAAATAAATGAAGAAAATTAAAGAGGCAAATTGCTTTATTTTAATTCAAAATATTCATTTAGAATAATTAAATTGAAATTTACAAATATGAATTTTTAAGCATATTTTTGGTTAAGTATATCTCTATATTTTATTAAAGAAGAATTGTTATTAACTTTTAAGTCATAATGAATTATTAAATAAATTTAATTTTGAAAAATTTTATACCTAGTTTTAAATAAAGGATAGAACTAATTATTTAAATTAAATGAGCTTCGCAAGCAAATATTAACTAATTAGACTAGGAAAGGACATAGGGCTTGATATCTTTCATTCATTGTATTTCGAATGTAAAATATAGTCAATAATATTTTCAACCTACTTAAATCTTAAGTCAAAGGTGTTACAAAAAAAAAAAAAAGAAAAAACAAAAAAAAGGATCAACATGATCTATTCCGACCACCTTGATGATTGAACTTACTACTTATTTATTCGTTTCGAAGAGTAGAATTTGTGTTTTATCTAAGAAGATAGATAAGAATTCGATAACATTTTGAGTTTTTTTTTTTTTTTTTGGTTTAAATTTGTGTGTGTTTTATTTACATTAAAATGAGTTTTGATGTTCTAAAAAAGGTTTTTTTTTTTTTTTTTTTTTACATTATTTCTATGATTTTGAGATGTTCTTGAGCAAAAATAAAATAGAGTTTGGTTTTAGGAGGCTAAAATTTTGACTTTTTGGTGATTTTTCTTTCGAAAATTAAAGATAGCTAATTTTTTTAAAAAATAAATTGATATAATATATATCATGACTTGTTAAAATTTTTAAATGATAATTACATATATATAAAATATATTTAATTTTATCTAAAAAAACATATTTCAAATAATCTATCTCAATTCACTAATTATGGTCAAAACATATAAATAAAAACTATCAAATCATCGATTGTATTAAAAACTAATTTTATATTTTCAAACATAACAACTATTTACTATGAATATATTTTTTTTAGTATTATAAAACTAATTTTTTTGAAATAAAATCATTAAAATAATTTTTTTTAAAACAACTAATTATTCAAATATAATTTTTATACTAATATTATTAATTATTTTATAAATAAATAAATATAAATATAAAATATTTTTTTAAAAAAAATAACTTTTTCATCGATATTTAATAAAAATAAAATTTTATTTTTATATTAATTAATTTTGTACAATTCAACGAGTAACTTTGACTGGTGATTAAAAAAACAAAAGGAAAACGATGATCATCAAAGTCACATCATGTGTCATCAGTCAAAGGAAAACAGAGAAAAGGAAGCAGAACCTTTAGCCATTGCTATTGACTTCCACAGTACTAGCCATTTATCCACGCTAATAATACAAGATCACTGATGTAGAAATGTTTGTGCTCATCCGTTCGAAATCCATTGAATGTCAATTGGTTAATTGTCAATCATGGGCATAGAATCTGGATCTCTGGTTTTTAATATATGTATATACAGTGGAAATGTTGACCTTTAAACATCAAAAGCCTAACCTTTTTCATTTGTTTTACTTATCTGGCCCAAGGGACGGTGAGATTACAAAAACATTAATCTATTCATTGGCAAGCACCACACATTTTATGACGGTCAGGAATACACCCACTAATCCATTCACCGGCAACAACTCAGGATACTGCAAATGGGGAATGATCAACCACCAAATTTTGATTGCTTCTTCGGACATTTACATGGTACTTTCGATAAGCATCTAACGCCTTGCACGTAATAGAATATAAACTGATTACCAATTTCAAGAAAAAGACCAAAAACTAGACTGCCTTTTCAATTTCAATAATACCAGATATTTATTCAATAAGATTAATCCAACAAAGCGTAACAAGTAAACTCCAGTAAAAATGCCTACCACCTCCAATCGCTTCCCATGGAATTTGAACTTCCTCACCAAATTAAAACAGTCAACAAGGAAAAAGGGGCTAGCAAAGTTTTTTATCTCAATCACCAAGTAGTCAATGGAGAAGGAAATTTGAGAGTTTGAATGCTAATCACAAATTATTAATATTCAGAAGAAATCAACTAGACCATTAGATGCATCACACAGGGTAAAATTAATTGTTTCAGTTCAAAGCATCAAAACTAGCAACCTAAAATCGAAACAAGATGGCTATTGGAAAAAGAAAAAGAAAAAACCGTAATTTCCATCTAGGACCAACACATTCTTAATCAAAGCTTCATCCAAATGCCATTCAATAGCACACGTAGAGCCGCCATTGCATCAATTACTTTCTATGCTCTTCTCTGGCTACAATCTTGAACTTCCCTGACTGTTGTTGCTGCAAAAAAAAAAAAAAAAAAAAAAAAAAAAAAAAAGGAAGAAAACCCATTAAAAAAGAAAAAACACTCATAGAAATACTATACACACTACCAATTAAAATTTTGAATTAAAGGGCAAAATGAGCAAATCTTTTTACCTTATCCCATAATTCAGTGTGGGTTTTGCAGAACCCAGCAACTATAGTCTCCTTCTTCTTCTTCCCAACTTTATACTCGATACAAAGATCCTCATTCAACCCACAAGTAACATGAAATGCCAGAGGACACTTAGGCTCAGAGCACTCAATAACACACCCTTTTCTACTCTTACAAACATAACATTTCCCTTCCCGTCTCCTTTTAGGAACCTTAGAGCAATCAATTCCTTCACGGCCATCTGGGTCCTCAAAAAACACCTCAGGAATCAAAAGTGCACACACAACATGAGCCCATGATCCATCACCACCCTTTGCTGTGGTGGGTTTCAAAGCACCACCCTTTGTTGGGCACAAGCAACAAGATAAAGAGGACTGCTTACTTTCTGATCTGTCAGATTTAGAAGCTAAACACTGAATACAAAACCAATCACCATTGGGAACCCCCTTTATTAAAGGATTCCCATAGCAAGTAGTGTGAACCATTAAATCACACCCATCACAAAACACTATAGGATCTGTTGGATCCCCATCCGTGCTTTGACAAATAGCACACAAAATCCCGTCATCATCTTCTTCTTCTTCTTTTTCCTCTTCATATTTACACTCTTCTTGATTGTTTTCACCAAGAGCGGTGACATTTTCCTCTTCTTTCAAATATTCTTCTTCACTTTCACTTTCAATTGGCTTGTCAGTACTAAATGAAAGAGGGGTTTTCTTGTTTTCCTCATTTGCTTTAATTTCTTCATTAAAAGAAGGATTATACTCAACATTGAGATCGAAAGGTGAAAGAGGCTTACCGAATACCAAATCAGGATGCGGTGCCCAAACCCTCTTCTTGGTTGGCAAACAACATGCAGCAGTGGCGGTTACTCTGGGATCAGCATCAGCAGGAAGTGGGTTCCGGGACTCCTTTCGCTTCTTAGCCGGCAATTGCAAATAGATAGGTACATTTTCTTTGTTTTGTTGTTGTTGTTGTTGTTGCTGCTGCTGTTGTAAGAGCCTGTGTCTTTTGAGAGGAGGTAAGGCTTGAAATTTGGTATCCATTGTTGTTTGTGTGTGTTTTGCAGGCAAAGAAAGAGATTTGGTCGTTTTGTTGTGTTGGTGAAACAGTGAAAATGGAGGGAGGAGGTTTTGTTTTGGTGGGTTTTTTTTTTTTTTTTTCCTTTTGAATAATTAAGGCAAATTGATGTGGAGGGAAGAGAACCCGGGAAGAGAAGAATACAAACCAAGTGCTTTCTTTTTTTTTAGTCTCTCAAACTTTTATGGCGGGAAGCTAAAATTGACACCCTCCATTTTTTTTGGGTGCTAGAATTTGAAAGAGGAAAATTCAGATTAGAATTTTCCAAAAATGTTGAAGTCCAGCCCTCTAACTATCGGTAATAATTCGTTTAGGTCCTCCTGCGTCTGTGAAGTTCAAATGCTTGATCCAATTTTGGGCCTATGCCTGTCATTGTTCTCATATTTCAAAATGCACTGCAGCAACATGTCAGGATTAGAACTGAATCTTGCTATTGCATTATAGATATTTTTAATTGGTCTCCTGAAGAATTAATCTCTTTGAAAGAATCTTTGAATTACAAAATCAGATTTCGTATACCAAGCAAGCAAGCACTTCAAAGCAAAAGAAAACAGAGGGAATGATTTAAGGCCAGCAAAGAAATAATTTGGTGAAAAAGTAAGCAATTAATACAATCTGTTGATTTTTCATTCATTTACTTGTTTTCTTAATGCTGTAACTAATCACTGCATCCATGTTTGCTATTTAAGCTCTCGGTCACCTTAAACCCCAACACTTTAAACACCAACTTATGTTGCTTTAAAAAGGCCATAAATTTGTTCATCTTGGCCTACCCTACACTACCCTTTCAAATCATTCTTGCTGCTCTGTGAGCAGTGCCCTCTTTATAATTATCAATCTTGCAAAATGACTTCCAGTACCTAGCATTTTGAAATTACAAAACCTAAATCCATTACAGCAAGCCAATTTCTAATTATATTGAGGGGAGGAAGCACAGGAAGTCCAGTGCAAATTGCAGCATTTGAACACATAATAAATCAAAAATTTTGGTCTATCATAATTTTACTGAAAATTAAGGCATCCCACAATTCTGATATACAAAATGAAATGACGGCATATCACTATCTAGATGACATATCAATCCTCATTCTGGGCAGGCAAACCACATCTCCAAATTCCAGCCAGGGCGCTACCAAAGATTGAGTGGCAGACACTAGAAATGGCGCATGGTACTGCAGTCAGCGGGTTCCCAAAATGCTGTGCAGCAAGAACAATACCGAGCATAGAGTTCTGAAACGTAAACAGAAAGGCGGAATCACTTATCTTTATGAGAAATGGGAATGCATAGTAGGAATCAACTTCTAAATGTGAAGCATCATTCAGTTCACCCTGTGATGGACGCAAGAAGGCCAACATCCTTGGTCTCACCAAAGTTGAAAACTTTTCTCTTTGGACGCTGGAAAAATTTTACTTTGGCCCACTCAAGAATAGAAAACTTACCCATTTCCCCCTCGACAATAGATATGTTAATAGAATCCAGCTAAAGTAACAGTCTACCTGCATGCCAACCTCAATGGAGATGGTCCTTGACGACACCACGTCAAGCCCAAGCATTCTTGAAAGCGAATATCCAAAGAAAAAACCAGAAGCATGAAGAAGAGATGAAGCAAGCACCACTTGTCGACCAGACATAAGGATTGCAGAAGAACTCTGGGCAATTGCATATCCACATAGAACAGCAACAGTTCCCACAGCAATAGGTGGCATGAAGGGAGATACAATTTTAACCAGGCTCTGGAAATACTGATTTAAAAAGGCACCAGCCAGTACAGGAAGAAGCACAACCTATGTTCATAACAGCATATGACAAAGTTGTCCTCGACTTTAATGGTGTCAAACTAAACCAGGGCAGTAAAATCTACCTGCATGGTTGACGCTAAGAGTCCAGCAGCATCTACTGCAACATATTGCCCAGCCAGTTTGGCAGTCAAAAATGGGGTCATAACCTGCAATGGAAAGGGTAAAGAAAAATTCATTTCGGTATCATAAAAGGGAAAAAAAACTATCAAGAGGTGTCTCAATGTGCATTTTATGGACTAATTGTTAATGAAATTTCTTTAGCAAAAATAGGACAAATTCAAAACCCCTTTCTTTCAAAATATAACAAAGCTGAACACGAGAAAACTGGAATGTACATATGTCATACACCTAAAAGTATTATTTTCTGTCTGAAAGAAAAACGAATTTATTTCCAATAAACTTTAACTGGACAAAGAAGGGTGACTCGATTGAATACGATGGTGTAAATGCAGTTTGCATTAGTGAAAAACACCATCCAAGTATTTCTTCACATGATGTTGCATTTATCCCAATCCACTAAACTTTAATTGGTAAACGAGAAGATAATACAAGAGAAAAGTGCTGGTTACCAACCACAGACGCAAAAGTGCTCACTGCAGTCATCAATACTGAAAGTGCCACATTTCCACTGGAAACAAAAAGAGCATCACATTTATTGGTTCCGTATAGATAAGCAGAAAAAAAAAATTGAAAGAAAAAATGATGACTACTACAATAAGAATCACATACCGGGCAATATAAGTGACAATGTTACTTGCTGTTCCTGCAACCAATAATTTAAGAACTGTTATATAGAGTTATAGAAGAAGCAGGAAAAAAGATTAATAGCCACAATAACAGATGTGCATACATACCACCTGGGCAGCAACCAACCAATATTAGACCAGCTGCATAGTAAGATGGCAGATTCAACAGCTTGCTCACCAGAAACCCACTTAATGGCATCACCTACAGTCATTCAGGCATTTATTCTCTATCAGAATTAACAGAATTCAAGATAAAGCTGAAAAATCTCCTTCAACTGGTTTCTTAGCAGTACTTAAGTATTTTTAATATACTATAATATTCATTGAGGTGAAAAACAAAAGGTGATGTTGACAGGAAGGAACCTAACTAACCAGGGACTTGGAATTGAAAAATGAGTCGAACTCGTACAATTCCATGAATTGGTGTGCAACTAAGCATGTCTAGGCTGTATATGGAAATTTTCATTTAAAGGATGAGCTTCCAGTATTGATTATCCAGACTGAGAATAGAGATTTGATTGAGAACGACATAAAATCATCTTTTATAGTACCATATTACAACTTAGGAAAATTCTCTTTGTATGAGTGTCAACTTGTCAAATAATGATCACAGTTTTTATATTACCATCAGCTATTCATTACTGCATAAAACACTTTCTGACGCGCCTTTTCTATGCACTACATTCCGCAGGTCTATTCAACAGCCCACAGCAGTTTAATCCGTAGGCAGTAAGCATTGAAATACTCAAAATGTGAGGGAATTGCTATAATGACTTCATAATTCATGTTCGATTTGATTAAAAAAAGAAAAAAAGTCTTACTTTCCAAATCCTAAACCAAACATGTGCTATATCCTCTTCATTCAGCTAATGATAGAAGTTTCAAGCATTTGATCTTACAAGAATTGAAAGCCCTAAAACATAAAACACACAACCAACCTTTCTTTTAGTTAATACACCGCCAATTTTAGATAGGTTAATTTGATAAATCACAGTAGCAACACACAAAACTTAGTCTCACAATGCTGATGGCCTTTTAAATGCAAAAAAAAAAAAAAAGAGCAAAACAAACCGAGTACTGCAGTACAAAACCAGAGAGCACCTCCTTAGGCATAGCAAAAGCGTTGCTAAGATCATCAAGTGTAAGTGTCATACCCATACCGAGCATAGTAATAGTAAGGCCAACAATGGACCATTGGGGAGTGACCCAGTTGAAAGAACTTGGTCTTAAAAGACCCCATAGACAACCTAAAGATACCCATATCGGAAATGCTGTAGATATTGCTTCACTAACCACTTCAACCCACTCCCTCAAACCCCTTTCATTATGGGTACTCAAATCGTTTGATGAAATGCCACAGTGAAGTTGGGTTGCAGGTTTCCGACCTATTTTTGGCTTCAAAATGAGTGGCCAAATGGATTTGCTTTCTGGGGTTTGTGGGCTTGATTGGAGTTGAGATTTAAGTGGTGTGGACGCCAGCAGATGTGGTCTGATCCTTGCCGGATGGATTGAAATGAGGTTTGTGTTTGGTTTCAGTATGAAATTGTTCGATGTTTCATGAGAGCATAAAAAAAATGACTGCATTTTGGCGTACTCTCTGCTCTTTCTTTGGGATCATAGCCAGTTGGATCACATTTGTAGAAGATTGTGGAGATTTGTTTGATGTCAATCAAATAATATTTATTAATTACTTTGGACATGTTTGCTGTTTAGGAGTTGGGCTCTTGGGGAACTTAAACCCTAACACTTGGAGCACCAACTTGTGGTGCTTTAAAAAGGCCATAAATTGGTTCACCCTGGCCAACCCGTCCCTCCTCCCCAAGCTTCTTGCTGCTGTGTAAGTAGTCATCCTCTTTATAATCATAATTAAAGTAAACTAGTCGGATAGCTGTACTAGGATGCTCCAAACCCAACACTATACCTCAGGTTTTTTGAGTTATTTAAATACAACGTTTCAAGTATGTCGCTATTCCGTAATGTATATAAATTTTTTTTTTCTGTTCATAAATTTTGGTGTTTAATTATTGCTTTTTTAATAGAAAAAGAAAATTGTTATTTGGAAACGATATTTAGTGATTAGACAAAAGTACTTAGAAAAAAATAATGAAAGTTCATAATGCATGGGGTATGCGTTGGTATGTCGGAACTGGTGTGGTAGATGCACAGAATAATTTTCAAATGAGTACACTACTATTACATTTGCTCATTAGGCTGATCAACTTTCTTGTGTCGGATCATCATTGACACTGAATACATGAGTTCTAATAAAGTGATGGTTTGATATTTTTCTGAAAAAGGTGCTGCATCAAATGCAAAAAAAAAAAAAAAAAAATTTAAGTTAATTATTTGAATTGAGCAACAACTGCAAAACAATATCCTTTTCAACATATCCATAATCAACAACCAGCCTGCCTCTACATTGTTAATCGCTAGTTGGAGCAAGTGTTTTATCATTGTCCTATTTTCTATTTGTAAGCTTCTAATATCCATGGACTAAACTAAAACATATAAAATTAGAAACTGAATAATTTAATTTTTAAAAAGAATGCATAGATAATGAATAAAAGAATTATACAAACTATGTGGATTTTGTTTGTTTAGGATGGAAAAGCAAAGCAGTAAGTTTTTTTTATTTGAACTATGACAAGGTAGGAGCATATATGAAGATAGTCATTTCAAATGTCAAATTTTAAAGCAAATGGTTGTTTTTTTTTTTTTTTTTTGGTCGTGTTGAAATGATCAAAACATTGAATGATAGATGATATTCTTTTCTTTTTTATTTGCTGTAGAATGTATTCGATCTAGGAACTGCATGCTGATAGTGGGAAAATGATTTGAATCCTAAATCAGTGAACTATAGTGATGGCCTAGAACATATTATTTAAAGCATGTAATAATTGAATGCAAAGTGGTATAGGTGCTGGCAAAACCATTCATCCTAAGTTGAATAATTGTCTTGAACTTTCGTATTTATATATACATTAATGCATGGATGTTTGATTAATAGGAAGATGAAAGAACTAATTGGATGAAAATAAAAATACATTTACAGTATAACAAATATGAGCCATATTGCTGGATGGAATAAAGTGCACATATATGGATTTAGAAAACATGATTAAAGTATTCAAAAGCTCCAACACAAACAAAATAAAGGCAAAGATAGAGAATTCTTCAACACGAGCAAGGCTGATTTAAGATAATTGTTCGTAGAATCACTTGAGAGCTGTTATGTTTCCAAAAGCAAAACAACCAATTAAACATCCTTTTTTATAGTAACAATTCAACTAAAATAGCTTGTTTTAAGTTATATACCAAAAGCACCACACAGCATAGGTGTGACACACTAATTGAATCTTTATGTATTCGAAAAAGGCCTGGAAAAATCTAAAGTGGTACAAATTGAGCCCTTGCTTATACCTGTCTTACTCCAAGAGTGCTTGTACATATGTTCATTCTTCGTTAGGTTGCAATGCATATTCATTTAGTTTGAATAGAATGGTGTAGCACATAAAATGTATACATATATACTTTTTATTTTCACATAACTCACCTTTTGTTCTTTTCACAACAGACAGTGGTTTTTTGGTACTTCGCTCCTAAGCAGTCTACTTATATAGTTGAAGTAGTGCCATGATTTGGTATAAGCTTAGGCATTTCTGAGGTTAAGTCAAATTCAGGTTAGAGATAGTGATGTGGGAGAAGAGATTAGGTGTCGTGAAAATGAATCACTAGGGCAGCACAATACGAGGATTAAACAGGTGTAAGCTTGTTTTAGTAATATTATGAAGGCTAGTTTGACCAACTTTTATCATGATGTTGTTTGTTCAATAAGAAACTATTTTGAGATAAAATTCAATAGAATGAGTATTTACTAAAGCAAACCTTGGGCTATCATGCAGAGGATCTTGTGTTGAGTACTCTAATTTGCACTTTATTTTTTGAGGAAAATGGGCTAGAAGCTAAAAACTTTGTTGCTTGACCAACAGCTATAAGAGTGGATGAATCCACAAGTGTTTGAGCTTCTTTGATGGCAGGAGTGTGCAGTTTGGTAATAGCTACAATTGATTGAGTTGAAGCAGAATTGGCACTAATTGATTGAAGTGCAAGAGGTTCATTGACAACCCTTTGATCAACGATTGTCTATCAGTTTTAGCATCATAATCATCTTTAAATACAGCGTTGACTAATATATCACACATTATCTTTAAATACAGCTTTGACTAATATATCACACATGTTGTTTGTTGATCTGAACATGCTAAAATGAATCTAAAAGACTTAATATTTCATCAGTTTTTTAGCTATGAGTAGTAGAATCTATATGGATCGCTGAATCCTTTTTTGACAACATAGTGATAAGTGAACACCCCAAAAAAATCTGAGCATATTTTATGATGATCATAAAATTGGTGATATCAATTCCATCAGTCATTATATAATCAATTTTGAACCTAAATGCAACGACGATGGGTTAGTAAGATCATACCAACAATCTGCCTTTATACAAACCAAATAAGTAGGAATGATACGATAGCTGGTATCCCACAAACCTTGCATGCTACTGTGCCCCCTAATAGCAAAAGGTCCAGCATACCTTCACATAAATAGGTACTGTTGGAGATAGGAATGTTTTGGTAGCTGCTCATGCAATGTCTTTGCATGGTATTGCAGCTACTACGCTCGAAGGCTTTTAAGATTGTGGATAAAATGGAGGTACAACGACTGCTTTGGTACATTCTTCATTGGAGGATATGGTCCAGACAGTTAACGATGACAATCCGGTGCATGCTGATCCAACTCTAAGTGGAGTGTTTATTACTCCAACATTAATTAATGGCATAGGCGCTACTAGAATTCTTGTCACTGCAGCTACTCTCAAGGGCACTCAAGTAGAGGTGGATTGAATGGTCCAAGCAGACAATAGTTTTGGGCAGCAACAAGAGGGATAACTTTCTATTAACAGTCAAGTTGAGGTTTATACCTTGGTTCAAAATTCAGAATTAGGCAACAAAAGAATGAGGATAATCCTATCTGCAGATTTAATACAAAGATAAGGACTAGTTATTTTTCCATTCTTGATGGTTTAGAGGATGAGATATTGGAGAGTGATGATCAATGGGTTAGTTAGCAAGACTCCTTATCGAACAATTGTTCTTTCAACAACAATAACAATAATCTTTTGCTCTCACATTCCTGACCTTCTGATCAATTAGATGTTGAACAAGTGGACTTATTTCAAGCTAACAAATTTCACAAAGCTATAAAAAAGCTAGCTCAAAAAGAAAAACCTCACAATCCAGATTTTAGAAAAAAGACATGAGCAGCTCTACAAACACATGAGCAGCTCTACAAACACAAGGTACTCCTACCCCTAAATTTCAAATTATGTATGTCATTTTATGGAATGCTAGGAGGTGAAAAATAAAGATACCATAAACTATTTAAATCTTTCAAAAAGATAATATCATTCTATGCTTTTAGTTATTTTAGAACCTAAACTGCATGGAGATAAAATTGATGAGGTTGTCAAAAAAAATTATACTTCATGCATCATATGCATTATAATTCTATTAATGTGCATGTCTAGCTTTTTTGAAATTTTTATATTTTTGTGACTAGCATCGATATTGCTGAACAATTAATTATAGTTCAAATAAAAATGCATGGTTGGAGTCTGGTTCCATGTTCTTTTGTTTATGTCAAGTGTTATAAGGTAGAGCGCTTGAGTTTATGGGCAAACTTAGGTTGGTTCTCTTGCTTGTATCAATTTCCTTGGTTAGTGGGGGATGATTTTAATATCATAACAAATGTATAAAAAAGGTTAGTAGAACGAGCTATGATCTTCAAGCAATGGGAGATTTTGTGGATTACAACAATCAAGTTTCAAAACTGCAAGCATTGGAGGGAAAATCTAAGGCATTGGACAAACAATCATCCTGCGGCCCCCAGAGGAAAGAATGGCAAAATAATAAAGAAATGACAAGCACCAAGAAGTAAGATGAAAGTGGAACACGGTCATAATCAAACGAAACCCATCCAAAAAAAGAGAAAATATAAAGAGAAAGAAGTAGCAAGCGTGATTGGAGTGGACAAATGTAAAGGAAAAACAACAATCTGGTCCAAAACTGACACTCGTGGGTCCTCATATGTGGCAAAAATCTATGGCAAACGTTAGCTGTGGCGCAAACAATTGAAAAAAAGAATTTTGAACAAAAACAAATAGTACAACACTATTAATATCAAGCATTTAACACTATAATTAAGAAAGCAAATTACAACAAAAGACCTAATAAGGGAGAAAGAAAAGAAGAACACTGGAAGGATGCAAAGGTAAAACACAAACCATATTTTGAACAAAAACAAATAATATGACACCATTAATGCCGGCCACCAAACGCTGCAACCAATAAAGAAAATTAGAACAAAAGACTTGGAAAGAGAGAAATAAAAGAACACTGGAAGGATACAAAGGTAATGACACAAACTAAAGAATGACAAAATTGAAAATAAGAAAAAAAATAAGAGCAACAAACACACAACTTGCAAGCCCTAAAAATAGAAATACAAATCCAATACTAGTCGCTCGCACCAAAACAAAAATCATGATAAATCAACAGACCAGATCGAAGAAAGCAAACAACAATAAAAAATGAAGGGCGATCAAACGGCAAACAACAAACAAAGAGGCTACACAGGCCGTATGAGTCACGGTTCACAATGACTCTGAGTGTTGCTCAATAGTAAATGAATAGTGTGAACTATCCAATTCTTTTTAGTTTTCTTTGTAATTTCATCCAAAACCTTTGATTTGTTTCAATCAACTCTTGTATCTTTCACTTTTGTTTCTATTTCCTCTCTTTCAAATTTTAGCCACATGTCAAAATTTCAATTTCATCTCTAAAATTTATGAAATATCTCAATAGCATTCAAAAACTAAGGAAAAAAAAAAACAAATTGAAAGTAACAAAAAAAAAAAAAAGAATCAATTAAAAAATATTTTTTATTGAAACAAATCGTGCAAACCTCAAATATACCACCAAACTATTTTTTATATCAATTTTACCATCAAACTATTTTGATTTCTCAATTAAGGATTTTTGATAGAGCATTTAATGAAGAATGTTAAGCTTCCTACAAAAGCTAATATCGTTTTTTTAAGGTACAATTTGGATAAAAATATGGATGGAAAGTCTAAAAAATAGATGAGTCTTTAATTGACAATTTCTAAAAGTTTGTTGGTAAAATTTATAGAAAAAATAATCTAGATGCGAAATTGATATTACTCTAATAGTTTGGTTGTATATTTGAGATTTGCCAAAACAAATATGATAAAATTTGAGAGAGTTAGTTTTTTTTTTAAAAAAAAAAAAAATCCTCAAATCATACCAACTTCAATTCTCTTTTTTTTTTTTTTTTTCAATACTATACTTAAATGAAAAATTAACTCTCCCTCTCATTTTATTTTATTGTCAAACCTTTCACAATTCTAATCCGTCTCAATGGCATATACAAATAATCATGTTCTAGCTAGTGTCAAAATTATCTTATATTCAAATTACCAACTATTCCAATCATATGAGATTTCAATTTTATTTAATTTTTTTTTTCAGAATTCTTGTTCACGATTTTAATGAAAAAAAAATAAAAAATTGGATAGAAATGGTAGATATAACGTGCTAGTAAGAGAGTGTGAGAAACAACGATAGTGGTAGTTGGTATTGTTATTTAAAATTATTTTTTCATATTTATTTTTAGGTTAATTGTATTTTTATATTGTCAAAAATAGGTTAATTGTATTTTTATATTGTCAAAAGACTGACAAACAGTGTTGATAAAAAAATAATTTTTTTTATTATATTTGTTTTATTGAAAAACATATTTCTTTAATGATTTTTTAATTTCAATTTGTTTGTTCTTACCTTCTTGAGTTATATAAAGATATTTCATAAACTTCCGAGATGAAATTGAAATTTACAAAGATACAGAATTTAATTAAAACAAATAAAGATTTTACGTAAAATTAAGACAACATATAAACCTCATTATCACAAATTGAAATTTGCCCTTATGATTGTATCAGTAATGCAAAATAAGGCCAATGCCTAAGAACTTCCAGTGTCCTCAAAATAGTACTTCGAAATTACAAAACCTAAATTCATTACAAACACCAAATACTAATAACAAGTCTGTAGTGCAAAATCCAGCTTTCAAACACACGATAAATCTGAAATTGTGGTCTTATCATAATTATAGTGACATATAAAGCATTCCTGATTTCTGATAACAACAAATGAAATGACCCATGTTACTAGTATCCGCTGCTTATCATGTTTTTGATGTCATGTCAACGGTCATTCTCGGCAGGCACACTGCGTCTCCAAATTCCGGCGAGGACACTACCAAAAACTGAGTGGCAGACACTAGAAACAGCACATGGTACTGCAGTCAGCGGATTACCAAAATGCTTTGTAGCAAGAACGACACCGAGCACAGAGTTCTGAAACATAAACAGGAAAAGTGGAATTACTTGACTTTATATATATGTATATATATAAGGGAGTGCAGAGCAGGGATCAACATCTAAATGTGAAGCAACATCTAATTCACCTGGGGATGGACGCAAGGGGGGCTAGAGCCATGGCCCCACCAAAGTTGAAAACTTATCTCTTTTGATGCAACAAAAAATTTATATTGGCCTCCTCAAGAAAAGAAAATTTGCCTATTTCCCTTTAAAGGATGGATAATTGAACATATTTAGCCCCTCCCTGCCAAATGTAAAATTTTGCCCCCACTAAAGTATCAATCAAGGATCTACTCCCAAAATCACCCAAGTACCATTCACAGCAGGCGACCACAACAAGAATACTGTAAACTTTGCCTGAAATTGGAATCTACAAATGACTATATCATTACTCCACCATGTACGGTGAAGTGTAACATGTGTGAATCATCAAATAGAGCACAAAAGAGAAGCATCCCTTAATAATCCAGCGAAAGTAATTATCTACCTGCATGCCGACCTCAATGGAGACGGTCCGTGATGATGCCACATCAAGCCCAAGCATTCTTGAAAGCAAATATCCAAAGCAAAAACCAGATGCATGAAGAAGAAATGCAGCAAGCACTACTTGGCGCCCAGACATGAGGATTGCAGAAGAACTCTGGGCAATTGCATTTCCACATAGAACAGCTACTGTTCCCACAGCAATGGGTGGCATCAAGGGAGATACAATTTTAACCAGGCTCTGGAAATACTGATTTAGAAATGCACCAACCAGAACAGGAAGAAGCACGACCTGTGTTTGTAGCAGGAAATGACAAAATTGCTATTGAAATTAATGGCATCAAAACAGAAGCAAGGCAGGAAAATCTACCTGCATGGTTGACATTAAGAGTCCAGTGGCATCTACAGCAACATATTGCCCAGCCAGTTTGGCTGTCAGAAATGGGGTCATAACCTACAAATGGCAAGAGAAAAGGAAATATTAGTTTGGTATCGTGAAAGGCAACAAACTCTTCAGGAGGTGTTTTACATTTTATGGACTAAATGTCAATAAAATTACTTTAGCAAAAATAGGAAAAACTCAAAACCCCTTCCTTCCAAAATACATCAAAGCTGAACACAAGAAAATTGTAATGAACATATTTCATACATCTAAAAAAATTATATTCTTTCTGAGAAAACAAACTCATCTCCTGTAAATTTTAACTAGACAAAGAAAGGTGAGTAGAATGTTAAAAGGTGGTGTGAATGCAGTATGTATTAGCGAAAAGCATCGTCCATGTATTTCTTCTCATGATATTGCATTTAGCTGAATGCACTGAATTTTACCAAGTAAAAGAGGAGAACATGAGACAAGAGAGAACTGTTAGTTACCAACCACAGATGCAAAAGTGCTCGCTGCAGTCATTAATACTGAAAGTGCCACATTTCCACTGGAAAACAAAAGGATCGGCACATTTGTTGGTTCCAGTGTAAGTAAGCAGGAAAAAATTGAAAGAAATAATTATGACAACAACAATAAGAATCAACATACCGGGCAATGAACGTGACAATGTTACTTGCTGTTCCTGCAACCAAACAATTTATGAATTATTACCTAGTCAAGAATGAAGCAGGAAAAATGATTAATAGTACACGATAACAGATTTGCATACCGCCTGGGCAGCAACCAACCAATATTAGACCTGCTGCATAGTAAGATGGCAGATTCAATAGTTTGCTCACCAGAAAACCTGATATTGGCATCACCTACAAACCATCACACATTTATGCTCTATTAGCTGTTAACAGAGTTCGACATAAAGCTGAAAAATCTCCTACAACTGGTTTATTCGCTGTTACTTTAATGCTTTTCAATGTATTAACAATAATATTCATTGTCGTGAGAATCAAAAGGTGATATTGACAGGAAGGGACCAAAGAACCAAGCACTAAGAATTGGAACACAAGTCAAGTTATACAGTTCCATGAGTTGGAATGCAACTGAGCATTTCCAGACTGTATATGGACAGCTTTCCTTTAAAGGATGATTGATTCTCCAAAATGATAATTGAGATCTGCATGAGAATGGCATAAAATTCACTTTTACAGTACAATATTACAGCTTAATAACTTCTCTTTGTACAAGTGTCAATTGTCAAATCACGAACAGTTTTGATCTTACCATCAGCTCTTCATTACTAAATAAAGAACATTCCTAGGCACCTTTGCTAATGCATTGCAGCAGGAGTATCCGACAGCCCGCAGCAGGAGTAACCTCTGGATAGTCCACCAAAAGTCCAAAACTTCTTTGCAGTACACAATAGTGGCTTAATAATTAATGTTTCATTTGATATAAAAGCCTTTCTTTCTAAATTTTAAACCAACATATCTTCTTCATCAAGCGAATGATAAAGTAAAAAGAAAACACGACTGATCTTTCTTTAGTTAATATAAAACCACTTTAGATAGGCTGGTTTGATAAAACAAGACTTGAAGGCCCAAAAACATAAAT